ATGAATGTTTGCAAATATTTCTTTGCCATAGCCACCCAGCTCTTCCAGATGTTGTGGCTGGCTCTTGGAAGTGCCTGTGTGCAAGCTGAGCTGATAATATTAATCAAACCTCTTGTTAACTTCCAGGGCATTCAGCGATTATTGCAGGAATTTTCTCTGCTGTGAGCAGTTTTGCACAGTTGGCTGGGGTACACAGTGGTGGGTTTTCCTCGTCTTTATCTTCCTCTGAAATACGGAGTATGGGTTGCTGCTCTGGACAGGATAATGGTAGGATGGGCCATTATAATCAAAGTAAAAGGAAGAAATAGTTTCCAGTGCTAGAAATTTAATCTCGATCCGTGCAGTAACTGGCTTTTGGGGCCACCACGATTTCAGCCGGTCGTGGTGTGTGAGAAGGTGCTGCCTCCGAGGGGCGGGTGCTGGGTGTGCCGGGTGGAGGAACTCCGCTGCGGTCGCAGGCAGCTTGGTGGCTTTTGCTCTGCAGGTGACTGTCCTCCCTGGCTTAACACCCACCATCACATACGGGAGTCGCGGAGGCTGCCACGGCCAGGACATGCACTAATCACAGCTTTTTGGCGTGAGGATACCATCACGGTTGAGCCGTTTCCAGACTCCTTTTGGTCTTTGGTCATTATTTTTTTGAGTTTCATGCCTTCCATGTGAACACGTTATGTGCTTACATATGACGTTTTATCTCTTATCTCTACTTCAACATTTGCCGTTTTCAAGCGGTACACGCTATCCTGCGAACCGGGTAGTTTTACTTGCATCTGTCCCAGGTTCTGTTGTGTCATGTCCTTTGGTTTGGAGAGGAAGTCTCCACCCAGACCATCTTGAGATCTTGGGTATGGAGGATGGCTCTTACTGGAAGGGTATTGCTTTCATTAATAACACAAATTTCTTGCAGTAGTTGCTAATAGAGGCAGTTGTGCAGTTTAAACATAATTTGTTTGAAAATTCCTTGCTTTCAATTAGGTGTACTTCATGACTGACAGTGATTTATCTGAAACTTGGCAACTGTGAGGCAATGACATGATGACACCATCTTGCATTACCTGACTAATTTTAACCTGCTGAGTCCCATCAGTCTCTACTAACAATACCCCTCAGGACTGTGTGCGCTGTAGAAGGCGGGTGCTGGGGCACTGCTGGTTTGAAGGAGGCAGAGAGACAGCGAGGAAGGCCGGTGAAACAGGTCTGCCGGGAGGGTATTACTGTTTTGGACAAGCATCAGGCAGTATCTCGTGCTTAAGAACACAATTCTCATCAGGTGGATCAGCACAACTTTAATTTTTTCATCCAAAGGGTTTTTTCAGAAAAGCATCATAGCTTTGTCAAGACAGAAATATTGGGAAAAAAGTAAACTGCACTGAATATTTCCCTCCAGATTGGCTTTGAGAACGCTTGTGCCAATGCAAGCCTTACTGCAAGCTCTTATCCTCTTTTTGTTTTGGATTTGAATGCATCATTTTCTGTGCTCTTCAATAATAGACCAAGAGAGCTTGAGCTCCCACACAGTGGTGTTGAGTTAGGCATCATGTGGACAGTGGCAATCAGTATTAACTTTGCAAACTTAGGATCAGGTCCTGCTCACCTCGTTTACTTGGATTTTCCTCTGAGGCCGACGAATCCTGTTCGTCACTGCGGGATAGATTTTGCACTGATTCCTCTATCAGTAGTTTGCGTATGAATTTTATCCACAGCAAACGTTTTAGAAATAATTTGCTGATTTACAAGTTAAATAAGCCTAATTTTTTATTCTTTAGATTCTTGTGGTGTATGAACTTCCTCACTTAATCATTGGCTGAGGACCTGATCCATTCTGGGTGTCAGTGGTGTCTGCACGGCCGATGCAGACATCGCTGCCCGCACCAGCACAGCGCAGTGAGCTCCGGCTCTGATCCCGGCCAGGCGCCCGGGCACGTGCAGCCGGGTGCTGGGTCCTGCTCTGGGAATGTGCTGGCTCTGCCTCTTCTGTCGGTGTCCTCAGCCGAGAGGCCGGTCTCCTGGAGCCCTGCAGTAAATGCTCCTTGCAGAAACACCACCGAGATCCCCGGGCCCCTCGTGACAGCAGTTCAGCAGTGGGACTCTTTCCTCTTTCTCTGCGGCAGAGGAAGAAAGCTGCTGTCACAAAGACTAATCTCAAGGCGCTGGCTTTTCCTGTGCCGAGACCAGCATGTCCTGTACGTTCAGGGAAACCTAAGAATAAAAAATATTGGGTACTGTGTGCATTGTAAGGGACGTGAACGAATACAAATAAGAAAAATGTTTCCCTTTCCCAATTCTCTGCACAATCCCATTTGGGTTTTAAACATTTTATAAATAAAAAGTTATCCAGGTATATTTACATTCAGGATAGTAAGTTTAAATTGAACGCTTCATCAAATAGCGTTTATTTAGGGAGTCTTTTTTTTTTGCCCTGAGATTTTCCCGAGGTGGCACAATAATGTCAGCTTGGGATTCACTGGTCCGCACTACCGCAGCTGCTAGCCGTGTGCTGGTGGAGCAGCCCCTGCTGTTCCCTGCCCTGCGCAGGGCTGCCGTGCCTGCAGAGTGCTGCCAGTGGACCAGGTCCGCAGCACAGATGTGCCCCTCGTGTTAGGGGCCGAGGTGGAAACACTCCCCTGGGGAGGTAAAAACGCTTGTTGCTCTTCAGAGGCAGGCGCAGACTGCGCAGGGGAGGGAGAGGGTCTGGGGTGTGGTGGGGCTCAGGGGTAACAGGAAAGAAGAGTAAAAGTTGCCCGCGTTGGAGCAAAGGCAGGCCGTGCTAATGCCGCCTCTGCCTGCTGAAACTCTGTGTTTGGGTATTATGCGGCAAACTCTGCTCTGTGCTTCAGCTCTGCTCCTCGGTACTGCTTATTTATCAAAACTGACTGAAAAAACCCCAACGCCAACTACAGGGGACTGCAATCCACTTTGGAGTTTAGGGAACGTGAGCATCTTTGACCTGCTGATGTTGGATTCTTTATTCGAGCAGTGAGTGAGGGTATGCTCCAGAAATGCCAACCCAGAGCGCGGCTGTGCTAGGCTGAGGTGTGTAACGGAGCTTTGTGTTGATTTTGCACATGGTTGCACTAATGCAGCGCATGGCTGAGCAGGCAGCAGCACTGCTCTGGAGCTGTGTTCCTTCTCCCATTGTTTATAGCATCGTGTCCCCAGGTTCTAATTAGTTTCTCTGTATGGTGTTATGATACTGTTTTGAATACGAGCATCCCTGACATCCTGTAAGCCAGCATTAAAAGCATTTTCCAGTTTAAACCAGGGACTTCCAGACTAGTTTAAGATTATTTTTTAATATCACTGTGATCGTGTAACAAGCTGTTCAGTTCCTGTTTTGTATCTGGTGTAGCAGCTGGTTAAGTGAAACAAATACAACTCGCTCCGTGAAGTGTGGTAAACCTGCACTGCTCGGCTTTGTGGAACATGAGGAAGATGATGTGAAGAAAAGTCTTAAGGAGGTTAAATATTCACAGCCATTTTTTGGCATCTTTGGCATGCTCCAGCATCACCCTCAGCCCTGTGCGATGGGAACTCTCAGGGTCTATCAGAGCCATTACGGTCCCTGCATTAGCTAGTGCTGCAGCGGGTCTGGTCTTACCTCTTGTGCTCTGGGTGAACATGAGCGAAATGGTGGATGGGAGGAAATGCAGGCTGCCGGTCAAGAATTTGGCTTTTTTGTCTTGCCTTGCACCGTTCTTCTATTTACTCGCTGGTTTTATCCCACAATAAGCCCTCCTTCCAAGGCTGGCAGGGGGGCTGTCTGCATTGGCTCGGGCATCCTCCCTGGCAGCAGCAGTGGCCTTCCTGGGGGTACGTTAGCTCCGAGAGGGTTTTCTGTGTTCCCGGCTGGCAGGCTGGCTCCTCCTGGGGAGAAGGGAGCAAGCCCCAGCCTGCGCCGGCTGCCGGGCTGCCCAGCCCAAGCCACGGTGGACAACAGCCGCTGCCTTGCTGTTTCAGAGGGTCTGTAAGAAGGGCCCCGTGGAGGGGCTGTTGAGGACGTGAGGAGTTAGAAGGCGAGGGCTGAAGTTTGGGGGGGTTTCATCTTTGGGGGTTTTTTGGTGATTTGACTACGAGCAGTGGAGAAGAACTAAAGAAGTGATTGATTTCAGCAAGGAGAAGGTGATGAAAGAAAGATGTCCCTGGCTGCGCCGGGCAGGGAGAGGGCACGTGCACCAAGGCAAATTTTGAAGATGAGAAAAGTATATTTGCGACAGAGAAGATTACTTGAAAGTATTAAGAATGGAAGAAAGGAAAAATAATGGAGTGACAGTGGGAACGAGTCATGAGTACATGGTAATATACTTTGGAAGGAACAGTTCTAGCTACTCTTCATATTAACTATGAAATCCAGAGGAAAAAGGCCCGGGACATCGTTTAGGAAGTTTCAGTTAAACTCTCTAATTTCTGTGGTTAAAAGAAACTAATGGTGGCTTAAAGATCATACAAAGTCCTAAAATGAAGAAATTACAAGAAAAATGTTATCGTGGTGCTTCATTAAAAGAAGTGAACAGGGAGACCTGTGCCTGTAAGAGACTGACGATGGGAATGACCTGGAGGACACGGAGGGTTCGGGGCTTGTCTCCTGCTTGGGGAAGTTTCAGTATCGATTTCAAATAGTGGAGGGTGCACGGGGAGTGAAAACTCCCAGTTGTGCTACAGTCCAGGACACGCATAATCAGTCGTGTATACATCCCCAGTGTTCAAACGTATTGATGGCTTACTTTAAAACAAGTGCATGTGAAAGAGAATATTTTTGGTGTTTTTCTGGCACAGTGAAAAATCAGCCAGAGAAGCTTGCTGCGGGGTGGGAAGAGGGAGCTGTACCAGTGGCAGCGATGTCGCGTCCCCGAGCCGGGGGGTGCCATGGGTGCAGGAGCTGGGGCGCGGACTGGCAGGGCAGAGGCGGGTGCGGAGATGCTCTCCACATGCTGCCAGTTGTGTGAGTTGATGGGGTTGCATTGCACAGTTCTCCTAACGCTCTCTCTGTGAACCCTTTCCAGCCCACGACCTTCCCCCGAGCAAGACCTCGGCCACGGCGCAGACCGGCAGCCACCTGCAGTGCCTCTCGGTCCACTGCACGGACGACGTGGGCGAGGCGAAGGGCCGGACTGCGGTGCCGACGTGGAGGTCCCTGCACTCGGACATCTCCAACAGATTTGGGACTTTTGTGGCCGCCCTGACTTGAACAAAAGAAATTATTTTTTTTCTCTTTTTAATTTCAAAGGGCCGCTACTGCTAGGTGGACTATTTTTCTAGGTTGGTACCTGCTTAGTGGCATATGGACTGGAAAGGGTTAATTTAAAGTAAACCTCAACTTTTTTTTAATCTTCTGCCACAGTATGTTACCAGTGTTAACCCTTCTGCAGTTAGCACACTTTTGCTTAAGATTTTCCTGCTAGACCACTTTTTCCCATTATTCTGTAACCTTGGCATACATTTATAGATGAGGCCTTTTCCTTTTTCATCTCAGCGTATGTCCAAGTCACGTATGTCATAATAAGACAAAGATCCTCCTCCTCCTCCTCCTTTTCTTCCTCATTTGCTTTGTTTTTCTTTTTTTGTTTTGCTTTGTTCAGTGCTTATTACAATGGTGATCCTGAAGAACAGCAGTTCAGGAATAAACGCCGGTTAAAGTGAAATGGTCATCATTATATTATATATTATATTGACACCCAGCTTTTGCCAGTCACATACAAACCAAACGGTTAATGCTCTGTTGAATATTCAGGCAACGAGCCTGCCCTTTCCTGAGAAAATGATGTTCTGTTATTAATAACGTTCAGCCTCGTTTGCTCTCCGCCTCCCCCTGCGAGGCGAGGACGCTCGTTCCTGTATTTACCTTGGTGAAGCCCAGAGACGGAGCTCTGTCATGAACGGGCTGGTTCAGACACAGCCGGGGAAGGTATAGAGAAGTTTTTCTAAATAAGTCTAACAGGAAGTTTGCTTAATAATTCAGAGTCATTATCTCCTCCACCGAACGCCCAGGCTCCCTCTCTGCTTGGAGGAGGAGCGGGGGGGGGGGCCTCCCCAGCGTGGCTGCAGCCTCCTGGTCCTGGTGATGCTCCCACAGTTCCCACTTTGTAACTGCTCTAGAAAAAAATCCCCCAGAGCCACCGCACGCCTTCTGCGTGTGCTGTCCCACGGCGTGGTGTCCCAGCGCAGGAGCCAGGGCCCGCGGCGCAGCTGGGGCTGGGTCCATCACCAGCTGTGGCCGGTGTCCCCAGAGCCCTGCCAGGCGGCACTGCCGCACCCTGCCCATTTTTCACCTGTTTTTAGCTGACGGAAGACGCTGTCGATCGGAAGCGGGGTCCAGCGTCCCGTGCGCTTGTCTGCGGGGTGCCCTGGCTCCCGCCACAGCCATCCCAGTGTGGTGGCAGTGGTCGGGGGACAGCCCAAGCGGGGGGATGCGGGAGGCTGTATGCCCAAGGTCAGCGTTTCCTAATCTGCCAGGGCAGGGAGACCCTGTGTTAGACCCCCCCGAACTCATTCAAGGCCCCGTTTTTGCCACTCATTGAAGAACAGTGTTACTGGATGCACACAATAAAAGGAAAACCATACTTTCCTGCTCGTGATAGATAATACTCATTCGAGAAGAAAGTTGGAAGCAAACCAGATAAAAGCACAACTGACACGATGATCCGACACTCCTGTGGTTTTACGTAACGCTGTCCATTATTTGTGTATCCTCTGAGTACAGGAGTGTGAGCCGTCCCACCCCGCTCAGGCCAGCTCGCTTTCCTCTGCTCCCTGGAGCTTAATAACATCACTGGAGATTTAGGTTTTAGCTGTGAAATAAAGGTCGGCCTCTCTAGGGTTATTTATTACTTCTGTCAAGAATTCACAAAATGTGTCCCTCCTCAAGGGATGGAGTTTGAAGACTGCTTTGTATTTTATCTTCGATGATTGTGCTGGGCCTTTAATTATTTTGAAGTAATGTTCTCAGTAGACACCAATGGAGAGGAAATTCTGCCTAAAATGCCAATGGCACGGGGTGGTCTGAAATCCTCACTCTCGGTCATGTGTGGCTTCAAAGAGACTCACAGTGTTTGGAAATGTTATTTGAATGTGCTCTTATTAACCATGCATGGATTGATTTCCTCTTATGGGTCTGGTCAGTGACTTGACTTTGGATAAATTTAGATAGTTTTGAACCTTGATTTTCAGTATTATTTTACTTTTTATCGAAGCTGGAGCTGCCACGAGGATGAGGATTTTTGCCCATCCTGGAGCAATTGGCTGTGGAGCTGCCTCACGCCTGCCTGGTTTGGAACAAAAGGATGGGATGTTTTATACCTTCTGTAGGTGTGTGCACTACGGAAAGCTCGGAGCTCTCCCTTGTACCTGCAATAAAATACCACCATCCCCAGTAAAATATCTCCTGGTAGAATAATAATTATCAGCCCCCGCTCTGGAAGATGCTTCTTTGCCTGTGATTTCTTAAGTCCCGGTTCACCCAAATACGCGTTTAACTTTAAACCCTGTCTAGCAAAGCACTTGGGGGCTGCTGAGCTGCGGGGGGTTCTGTGCCTGCCAGAGCGGGGGTGAGCACCGCCGTGGTGGGTTCGGTCCGCAGCTCCCACCCTGTCCTGGCAGCTCCTACCCGTTCCAGCTGGGTGGGTCTTGGAGTAACCCCAGCGAAACACATGCCTAGACATATGATACCGCGTTTCAGCACTTACAGCTGAAAATTTAGGAAGAGTTCATGGTCTGGTGGCATTCCTGTACTGGAGTGCAGCCCCGATGGCTTACTTCTTTGTTTTTAGTTTTTCCTGCTGCATTCAAGAGAACAGGTTTTTCAGGCTTCCTGAGGTCAGGGATGCACACCCTGTGCTACCAGGAAGAGACCTTTCAGTGAACGCTGCATCAAACATTTCAGATTGCTTTTAAAGAGAAATCCTCCTTTGAGTAGAAATGCAGTGACTCAGTTGGTCTCACCCACCCTTTTCTTCTGGTTTGCTCTCTGCAGCTTGTGCTTCTCTCCTGGAGTTGTTGTTCTCATCCACGCGGGACTTACTTTTTCACTTGCTCATAGAAATACAAAGTGGAAGCAATTCCTTAAAAACCAATGGAATCCTGACAGTTTTAAATCCTATGAAATGAGGAGGACGGGCTATACCGAAGCCAGGGGACGTGTCTTCAGCTGCCGAGCTGTACAGCGTGGAAGTGCGGGAGCTGTGGCACGCGGCCACCGCTGGGTCTGCTCCCGCATGGCTGGCACTGCCGGGCCTGTGAGGTGGATGCAGTGGGAGGACGGGATTTTTAGATAGCGAGGAGTTAAAAACAGTGGTTGACTGTCTTCTGGGCCTTATTGTCCATGTAGTTTTGCTGAATAATATGGTCACATGCAATCCTTTTGCTAACCTCCTATCCATTCGATCTTGCTTAATGTAAGTGACGTTAGCAACTGAGCAAAAGGAGACGTTGCGAGCTCTACTCCGGGCAGCTGTTAGCAACGCCAGGACCAGCCTGCGCTTTTATGGTGTATTTGCTTTTTGCCAAAGATCAGAACAGAAACGGTACATATGACTGACCAGGACAAGCATCACTTCATGCTCATAACCTGGTGCATTTGGTACTGCCAACATATGCAGAAGGCTAGAGCTTTGTCACAAAGCTTGTGTTGCCTGCAGTGATTTCATTGTACTCATTTTCTCCATTAATTTGACACTGAATGCACCCATTATTTTTTTTTTTACATATATGAAATACCAGCATAGCCCTACATGGTAAGAATTGAAATGATTTAATTTTCTGAATAATAATACTTCCAACGGAAGCATGTTTGAGAGCTGTAGGTAAAAGCCTGCTGTGCAAGAGGTAAGTTGCACTCTTGTGGAGAGGGAAACTGAGGCACAGACAGCATCAACCCGAGCTGGGTCAAAGGCATGTCGGTGGCAGAGCTGAGCTGTACCCGAGGTCTGACCTCTGCTTGCAGCCCTCGTTGCTGAGCCGCACGGCTTGAGGCTTGCTTCCTTTGGAGGATGAGCCGGTGCAACAGAGAGTGAAATTTTATGAGCCACGTGTTCCCCAAATGACTGGGTAAAGCCAGAATAACATAAACTTGCACCTGCTTGTCGTAGAGGGGCTTCCAGACAGGGGGGATGTTGTACCAAGAAGTCAAAGACCTGTGGTAAATGTGCCATTAAGATACGCACAATCTTAGCTTTGTATTGTGAACAACAGCTAAAACGCGGCTTCGCATTTGTTTCGGAGATTTCTCCCTGCCTTGCCTGGCGTTTTCGGTTCTCCCATGCAGCCCCGTGCCGCAGGTGGTGGGTAGGAGGGAGCCTGGACGTCACTCGCCTCCTGACCCAGCTCGCCGACTCCTTTGGTGTTTGTTAAAAGAAACTCTGCGCTTAGTCTTCAAGTTAAAATGTAGTAGCAAACTGAGCAAAATCTCTCTTGCATTTAAATTGGGAGGAGTGATAAAATATCTCTTTGCCAAAAAAAGGAAAGAATAGGCCTTATTTATTAAATACTCTTGCAAATTTTCTCCGGATCGCTTTTTCCTAGGGTTACTAGTTCTCTGCTATTCTAGCTCGGTTGTTAGAGCATCAGTGAGAGAGGGTTTAGACTAATTTTTATTTAGTTACGGTGACTTTCATCAAATAGGTAAGGATTTCATTGTGTGGTTAGGGTGGAAGGGAATGAACATCAGAATTATGTCATCTGGGTCGTTTAGGGAACTGTTTCAGATACTGTATGTCTACGTGGTCATTCTGAGGCTGGCTGGCCTTCCCAAACCAGGAATCGGTATGAGGCTTCCAGGCACCAACAGTACGGCAAAACGTTCACACCTTTCGTAAGGAGGGACGGGGTAAGGTGAGCACAGGTCAGCGAAACGCGCCGGCTGCCGGGAGGGCGGGAGGAGGTGGGGGGGTGATTATTTTTGTTAAGCTGCAGTGTAAGGTTTTCTCAACTACTAGATTCACAGCTGTTCAATGGATGGTGTGTAAGAGCATAACCCATTTTTATAGAATTGTTTCTCCTTTATTGCTTAAGGCTAATGGAGGAAATAGTCTAATTTTGTCTTAGAAATTCTCTATTAAAATTGTTGGTTTGAGTCCATCCGCTCATAGATTCTGACTGATGAAACTGCAGGCTGTGATTTCCGGCAGTTATAACTTTATCACTATTCACTACCCAAGAATATTACAGCTTTAAAACAGCCTTAAGCAAAAGGATGTTATTTCTTTGTACTAAATTTGGTTCATGGAAAAGAAAAAAAAACTCAAAACACTGGTAATCCGTACTGCATAGCAAACTCTTCTGAAAAATGTTATTGCACATGTAAAATATGAAAACTTGACTCTGCTGTGTGTTAGGCAATCCTGTAATCTTTTTTCTTTTTTTTTTTTTTTTTTTTTTGATTCTTGTTAAATTCATTTCTTAAATGCTTGGTTGGAAGACTGTGACAATAGCTCATGAAATTGAGTGTTATTTTTCTTTTTTTTTAAATATGTAAAGTGCAGTCTTCTGTATTCATGCATATTGTACATATCTGTATATGTTTTACTGAGCAACTAAATAACAATAAATATGATGTTAATGGTGGCTATTGTATATTTCATACCATGTTTGTTTATTTTTGTAGTAAGTCCTTTTTCCCCTAAGATGTGAAGAAGTGAAACAATACTA